GCAGGGGCTCAGTAGGGGGCGCTGTGCTGCGGGGAGCGGGGCAGGGGCTCAGTGGGGGGTGCTGTGCTGCGGGGAGCGGGGCAGGGGCTCAGTAGGGGGTGTTGTGCTGTGGGGAGCGAGGCATCGGACGACTCTGATTTCTATACCACCACATACGCATCGTTCTACTGGGATCTGGGCGCCTACCGGGCCCTGCAGAGCACTGCTGTCAACTGGGGCCAAGCCTTCTGCATTTACGGTAACATGGGCCCCACAGCACTGGGGAGACCCCCACAGTGACTGAGCATATATGTCCTGTCTGGGCCCAACCCTAGGATTCCACCCTACCGTGCCAGCCCCGAAGCCCTCATCTCCCCTCAGGCTGCCAGCTCTATGGGGGGCAGGAACATATGGGGTAGACCCTTACCAGGGCTGGGCTGGGGTCAGCTCACCTGACCACATCCTCTTCCCTTAGGGTGACCAGGTGTCCAGTTTTTGAACACCTGGTCGAAAAGGGACCCTGGCGGCTCCGGTCAGCACCGCTGATCAGGCCATTAAAAGTCCAGTCGGCGGTGCTGTGGAGTGAAGGCAGGCTAGTCCCTACCTGTCCTGGCACCGCTCTGCACCCCAGAAGTGGCCAGCATGTCTGGGTCCTAGGTGGGGGGCCACGGGGCTCCACGCGCTGCCCCTGCCCCGAGCACTAGCTCCACACTCCCATTGGCTGGGAACCGCCCACTGGGAGCAGGGGATCAGTGCCTGTGGGCAAGAGCAGCGCGCGGAGCCTCCTGGCCTCTCCGCCTAGGACCCGGACCTGCTGGTCGATTCCGGGGCACAGCACGGAGCCAGGACAGGCAGGGAGCCTGCCTTAGCCCTGCTACGCTGCTGACCGGGAGCTGCCAGAGGTAAGCCAGTGCCCCAACCCTGAGCCCCCCAAACCTGGAGCCACCTCCTGCACCCCAAACCCCTCATCTCCGGCCCCACCCCAGAGCTTGCACCCCCAGCCCAGAGACCTCACACCCCTGCACCAAAACTCCCTGCCCCAGGCCAGAGCCTCCTCCCACCTCCTGAACCCCTCATCCCCGGTCCCACCCCAGAGCCCTCACCCTGTCCTGCACCCCAACCCCCTGCCTCACCCACAGCCCCCTCCCGCACTCCAAATCTCTCAGCCCAAGCCTGGAGCCCCCCCCTGCACCCCCAACCCCTCCTCCTGGAGCCCACACCCCCAGTTAGAGCCCTCACCCCCCCCCACACTCCAACCTGCTGCCCCAGCCCAGTGAAAGTGAGCCACCGAGGGAGGGGGAATGTAGTGAGTGGGGGCGGGGCCTTTGGGAAGGGGCAGAGCATAAGCGGGGCCTCTGGGAAGGGGCGGGGCTAGAGTGTTTTGGTTTTGTGCGATTAGAAAGTTGGCAACCCTCTCTTCCCTGAGGGCTGGGGATGTGGGGGTTGGAAGCTCAGACTCTTGCCCCTCCCATCCCCTGTGCCAGGCTGGACTCCTACATATATATGTCCTTTTCTCACCACTGTTCAGTCCCTTTCCCCACTGCTCACGGCCTGTCGCTGCCCCCTGCAGGGCTCCAGAATGGGGTGTATGAGGCCTCCAGGAACATCATGGAGGCTAAGGAGGTCCAGCTGGAAGCGTCCCGCTACTTCACCTACCTCCATCCCTGAGATCTGGTCAGTGTGTGCCTGTGGCAAGTGGCCCCATGGGGGGTGTGGCAGGGAAAGGGGCAGCCTGAGAGGTGGGGGCATTGGCCAGCATGGCATTGGGATGCCCAAGGTCTGGCCGGCTATTCCCCAAGCAGGGCCTGGGGCAGTGGAGTCCTGTTGCCACCAGCAGAATCTCAGTGGGATTGGCGCTAAGCCCAACCTCCCTCAGGGATCCTGCAGGGACTGGGGAGCATAGCCATCGGGTGGGGCCAGCCATCGGGAGGGAGATCCCTCTTCAGCTCCTGCACAGGG